GCTTTTCAGCCCGGTTTCTAGATGACATTGGCCTATTACCCCTAACCCAACGCTCCCTCTTCACGCCACCTGTCAATTTCCTGAGGGTCAAATCCCAGTTCCGACAACACCTCGTCGGTGTGCTGGCCCAGGGCCGGGGGTGCTGTTGGTACCAGCGGAGTTTCGCTGAAACTGGCCAGCGGGCCCACCATCCGCAGCTTTCCCACTTCCTGGTGTTCCAGTTCTGATACCAGGCCGTTGGCCTGCACTTGGGGGTCGTCGAAGACTTCCTCGATGAAGCGCACCGGCCCGGCAGGGATTCCCCGTTCGTCCAGAAGGGCCAGCCAATCGGCGGCGGTGCGCTGGAGGAAGACCGCCTCCGCCTGTCCCATGAGCTTTTCGCCGAAGGCCGCCGCCTCTTCGCTGCGGGGGTCGTAACCGGGGTCGAAACGGATGTCGGTCAGTCCCAACGTATCCAGCAGGCGCTGGCGCAGCGGGTCGCTGAGGCACCCCAGGGAAATGACGCCGTCGGCGGTCTGGTAGCTGCGGTAGTAGATATTACCCGGGGTAACAGGATGGTCTGACTCGTAAATCTGGAGCAGTTCGGGGTAGGGAATCCCTGCATCCCGCATGGCTGTCAAGGATTCGAGGGTGGCCGTGAAGTTGCCCCGGTCCAGCGATTCTATCTCCACGAACCGCATTCCCAGCAACGCTATAGCCAGCCCCAGCAGGGTGGTCTCCACCTTCTGCCCTTGACCCGTCCGCTCCCGGTGGTACAGGGCGGCGCAGACACACCAGGCCAGGCATATGCCGGCAGAGGTGTCTACCATCGGAGAGGAAACAACGTGTACGGGCGCGCCGTTGCTCAGCTTGCTTTCGGCGGTCATTATGCCCGACATGGCCTGAAGAATCAGGTCGTAGCCCGGACGGTAGGAATCGGGGCCCTGGCGACCGAAGGCCGTGTTCTCGCAGTAAATCAATTGGGGGTTGATGCCGGAAAGGGTTTCGTAGTCCACGCCCAGCTTGGACGCCACGTCAGGACGGTAGTTGACGATGGCCACGTCCATCTGCGGTATGAGGCGAGCCAAGACGTCTGCGGCGGCCTCGGTGGTCAAGTCCAGGGTGATGCTGCGCTTGCCCCGGTTGTAGGCGATGAAGGGACGGCTTTCGGTGGGAGTAAAGGCCTGGGTGCCGCGCCAGGGGTCGCCCCAGGGCGGTTCCACCTTGATGACCTCGGCGCCCATGTCGGAAAGGAGCATACCGGCGAAGGGACCGGCGATGATCTCGGTAAACTCGACAACCTTTACGCCATCCAGCGGCCCAGGCATAGCGAACCTCAGGGGAAACGGGTGTTGGTATTCTACTCTTTGGGGCAACTGCCTGTCTCTGTGGCCATTGATGACCAAGGAACCTCAACTGGTCGGTTGCTTTATGGGTTGCTCCTACCTCGTATCGGGACGCCTTCTAATCCTGCCAATAGCCTTGTAAGATGTTAAGGTTGCATTGAAATCAGGGATTCTTTAGATCTGGAAAAGGAATGAATAAGTTTATTGTTATCTACCATGCGCGTGCTCCTTATATGCAGATGATGCAAGAAAAGGCGGCAACCCCGGAGGATATGCAGGTCCAGATGCAAGCCTGGATGGAATGGGCTGGCCGGTGCGGCGAAGGTCTGCTTGAAATGGGCGGGCCCATGGTTGGAAACCTGAAGTTGACCAATGAGGGCGGCTTTCCCAGCGACAAGAATGTAGTGGGCTACTCGGTTTTACAGGCCGAAGATATGGCCGGGGCGCAAGCCATGCTGGAAGGTCATCCACACCTGGGGCTGGATTCCAGTTGCGAGATTGAAACCCACGAGGTTATGCAGATGCCGGACAAGGCGTGAACCCATCAATGTCCCGTGTGTGGTCAAGGAGTCTGGGGAAGGACCTGGCGATGGCGGCTTAGCAAGTCTGCCTCTGCGTGAAGTTAATGAGTCTGAAATCTTTCCTAACACACTATCCTTGGGGGCCAAACGACTATTCTTAGGACGGATTCTCGGCCCTTCGGCAAGCTCAGGGCGACAACAATGCGGGCATTGGTAGCAGGCCAAGGGTGGTCGCGATTGCCCCGGCGTCTCCCGCATTTGGCCTTGTAGCGGTATTCCCCGCTATGGTATGCTGTCTGAAGTGTCGGGGCGTAGCGCAGCCCGGTAGCGTACCTGCATGGGGTGCAGGGGGTCGCCGGTTCGAATCCGGCCGCCCCGACCATTAAGTCCAAGACCCCAACGAAGACATGAGTCATCCCGAATTTTGGGTGCATGGTGAGAAAGGGGGAGGGTAGGCGAGGCACTTAGAGCTGATCTGATTCTGGGAAGCGGTATCGCGGCGTCGCGGTACCGCTTCCCGGTTCTGTGGCACCAGTTTCGCAGGAGACCTTCCACCAGGGGCTGGCAGTGAGGGTGTAGCAGAGACAGCAGGAAGGAGTAGAGCAGGCTGACCATGAGCAACAGCGTGAGCCGGTTCTCCCAGAACCAGAGGCGGGGGCTTTCCATGGCCAGGTCGGTCTTGCAGCTCGGTAGCAAAGTTCCACCTGCAGCGGCGGGCATAGCGAAGACCACTTTCCAGGCATCGGCCGCGTCAGCTATGGTTCGTTGGTGAGCAGGTACCAGGGCTTGCGTGCCCTGGCCCGGGGGGAACCACCACCCAGGACTGGTCCACCTGGGGTGGCGGACCGGCAGTAGACGATACCCGTCTTCCGGTACTGACGCGGTGGATGTCCCACACCATCCGGTGGTCCACAAAACGCTTTGCCCCGGGCGATTTGCCAGGCGTGACGAGAGCCCTTGTCATAGACGAGAAAGTAGCCGTATGCCCAGCGCATGATGAAACGCAATCGCCGCCGTCAACTCTCGGAGCCATGGTCCCCAGCAAAGCCCCGGTCCCAGACATGAATCACCTGCTGCCCCCACTTTTCCGATCATTGGTTCAGCAGGGAGACCAGGTTGGTGACCGGTCGGTAGGCAAGGCCCCGCGGTCCACCAACGCATGGCCGCCAGGGCGGCGGGCCCGATAGCCACTACCATGACCGTGATTCGCTGCAGCCCGGGACGAATACCGCCGGCCTCCTGGAGTGTAGCACGGGCTTGATGTGCTTCAGACGGGCGCCTTGCTGGAATGTACCGGCCCCAATCCTTCCAGGCTATGCTTTCCGACTTCTCCATGGACTCCTCTCGTCCCCAGGCAGAGTTTTTCCCCAGCTTGTTCAGTCCCTCGAAAGCCTGGTCGGCCGGTACAGAACGGTCCAATACAAAGTGTGGGCCATTTGGGAGAACGAGCAAATGCTCAGCTCGTGAGTCGTTTGGTTGCCCGCCGCCGATCTTATCGGGTGTGAGATGTGGCACTTTGAGTTCTGCTCAGGAGCAGCCCCGAACGGCTGTGGCGCAGCCGTACCATAGCGGCGGCCAGGGCCAGGAAGAAGGTGCGCACCAGGCGCTGGTCCAACTGGTCATCCAGCCCCTCCTCCAGCGGCCCGAGAATAATTCAGTAAATAATTCGCTGCGATTGGCTTGCCGTCCACCGCTCCGCAGGCCGCATCATAGAAAAGCCCCCTTCACAGTGTGGTTGAAGTTTGCTCACTTCTACTCCACTAAATAGGGGGCTTCTTTTATAGGCTTCCTAGACTACTTTCCCTATCTTCTCAAAATCCGGGATGACTCATGTTTTTTCTTGGCAGGGTAACTGAGCAAATCCTGGGGATACTTAACGTATTTGCTCTCTTCCATTCCCAAACCCTTTGTCCGCTCATCCTGAGGCTATCAAAAAGCACCTTTCTCTCCCTGGGAGAGGTATGGGAGTGGGGCTCATTCCCTGCATCTCGGCCGGAGTTCGCCTTTTCGCCCGCATGCATTGAATCGCGATGGCAAAAGTGTTGTATTATTCTAGCAAAGCTGTACGGCGCCACGGCCCAGCATGGCGGGTTCAGGTCCATTGGGCGCCTGGTCATCTAATCTTTAGCGGTCATTCCACCTTCCCAGGAGGCCAATAGTGGCAGACACTGCAAACAGTACTCCGTCAAATCCGACCATCGGGTCGAAACGGTGACATCAGTTTTGCCAAACGCCTAGAGCGCCATATTCAGGGAAAGACCGTCACCGGTCTTATGGAGTTGTTCCCGCTTCTTGTTACCATTCTGGTAATTGCGGTAATAATCGGCTATGCCGACAGCTTCGTGCATCCTCTGATTAAGTTCCTGCCGTGGGACCTTCCCATTATTGGTGGACTGACCTTTACCGGTGTAGGCCTCATCGTTCTCGCCCTCCTCTTCTATCTCACGGGACTGGCTGTATCCTCCCGCATTGGTCGCGGTTCCTTTAGGTTCGCCGGGAAAGTTATGAACCGTACTCCGGTGGTGGGTGCCATCTACGGTCTTACCCAAACCGTTGCTACAGTAATGTCCTCCCAGTACCGCTTTAGCCGTGTCGTGTTTATCGAGTGGCCCCGGGACGGCATGATTGCCCTGGGTTTCGTGACTGGCCGGGCAGTTTCAACCACAGGCGAGTCTGTGGTAATCGTTTACGTGCCCACCGTGCCCAATCCCACCTCCGGCAACATGGCCATCGTAGTTGAGGACGACGTCTTCGAAACCGATATGACCGTCGAAGAGGCAATGAAGATGGTATTCTCCGGGGGCATTGTCATTCCGGAGTCCCTTGCCTTTGCCAGACTGCCCCGGGAAAAGGGCCCCACGAGTTTGTGGGACGCTTCGAAGCCTCGAATTAGCTAGGGGCCCGAATAGTTCGTTCCGTCGCAATCCTCGCCGTCGGAAAAAGATTCGGGGGCTGCCAGCGCATTGGCTGGCAGCCCCTGAATCTTTCTTTGGCGTCCTGTGACGGTATGGTCAAGCCATCCCCTGCTATGGCTAGGCGGCCTTTCGCACCTCCGGTTGGTACGCGGCCCCTGCCGACTCTACAGGCTTGGCCGGAGTCAGGGTATCGGGCAGGTCCCTGGTGAATCCGCACTGGAGACAGTTGATATACCTGCCGTACATATCGGTTGCCAGGTACAGGGATCCTTGGCATTTTGGGCATCCTTTGAGCTTGAGCATCGCGATTCACCTCCTTGTTCGGCGTGGCACATATTGCCACCGCCCAGTTCATAATTAGTATTGCGGAAAAATAATAAAAGTTGACACACTTAATGTCAAGGCTTATTATATTCCTTGTAGATTAGTTCCGGATTTCACAATGATCCTTCCGGGAGGGAATACGATGTACGAGCGATTTGGGATTTGGGTAGACACAGACGTAATGAACGACCGGGAAAGGTCGTCTTTTCGAATGTCGCCTGCTCCACCGGAATCCTCGGAATTGCAGCCTGCCTCCACCGCTCAGCCCTCAAGTACGCAGCAAGGCAGGCAGGAAGATGGTTTTGATGCTGGTATGGAAGGTGTCTACATTATCAGCGTGGCCGCCCGGATTCTGGATATGCACCCCCAGACTCTCCGCAAGTACGAGAGGCTGGGCCTGATCAATCCGGGCCGCACCGTCGGAATGCTGCGCCTCTATTCCCGGGAAGACATACGTAAGGTCCTTCTTATCCGGCACTTGATGGAAAACCTGGGTTTAAACCTGGCCGGTGTGGAATTTGCCCTGAACCTGGTGGAGAACCTGCAAGGCTTCAAGCAGTACCTCCAATCCGTTGCTGAAGGCACGGATGTGGAGCCCAAAATTGAACCGGCTATGGCCCAGTTATTCCGCAATCTTAATCTGCCCGGTGAAGAAAGTTAGTGACGGCGCAACCAGCTAGTGACGGCGCAACCGTGGCAAGCCAGGAATATTTCTAAATTGAAGGTGGACCCATATGACCAACGGCCATAACGATAGCGAACTTCCGGCGCCAGACGCGGAAGAAGTCCAGCAGGAAACAATCCAGGATTTTGATTCCCTTCCCGCTGAGGAACAGGTAGTGGTCCTGCGGCGGGACCTGGACGAAGCTCGAGACGAACTGGGGCAGTCCCGGGACCAGACGCAGCGAGCCCAGGCGGACCTGGCCAATTACCGCAAGCGCACCGAGGAAGAGCAGGTGACGATGCGCCAGGATGCCAACCGGCGCCTGATTATGAACTTGTTGCCTGTGGTAGACGAGCTGGAACTGGCCATCAACCACCTGGGCCAAGGCGAAACATCCGATTCCTGGGTGGAAGGCGTGAAGCTGATACATCGCAAGGCCTACGGGGTTCTGGAGTCCGAGGGCCTTACCAAGATAGAATCGGTGGGCGTCCAGTTCGACCCGCTGCAGCACGAAGCGGTGGGAGTTGTGGATTCGGAAGAACAGCCCTCGGGCTTCGTGGTGGAAGCCCTTCGCAACGGATATCGCCTGCGGGACCGGGTAATCCAGGCGGCCCAGGTTGTGGTCGCCAGGTAATTTCAAGGGCCGGATTTTAACCGGTGAGAATTTGACAAGACAGAAATCATTTTGCCATATAACAGGAATAGAATTTAAGGAGTATGAAAATGGCCAAGGTTCTCGGTATAGATTTGGGTACTACCAACTCGGTAGCGGCGGTTATCGAGGCCGGGGAGCCCACGGTGGTGGAAAACGCCGAGGGGGCCCGCCTTACGCCGTCCGTGGTGGCGGTAAATCCTCGCAGCGATGAGAGATACATCGGCCAGGTTGCCAAGCGGCAGTCGGTCACCAATCCGGAGAATACAGTCTTCTCCGTAAAGCGGCTTATGGGCCGGAAATACGCCGACAAGGAAGTTCAAGGCGCCTTGGGCAAGCTGCCCTACAAGGTGGTGCAGGCATCCAACGGAGATGCCCACGTGGAAATGTCGGGGCAGGCCTACGCGCCACCCCAGATTTCATCCTTTGTCTTGCAGAAGATCCGGCAGGACGCTGAAGCCAAACTGGGCGAAAAGATCACCCAGGCGGTTATCACGGTACCGGCTTATTTCAACGACGCCCAGCGCCAGGCTACCAAGGACGCGGGCACCATCGCTGGCCTTGACGTACTGCGAATTATCAACGAGCCCACCGCCTCGTCATTGGCGTACGGCCTGGACAAGACTAAAGAAGAGGCCACCATAGCCGTGTTCGACCTGGGCGGCGGTACCTTTGACATAACAATCCTCGAGATGGGCGAAGGTGTATTTGAGGTCAAGTCCACTAACGGCGACACCTACCTGGGCGGCGACGACTTCGACCAAAAGATACTTGAATGGCTGATTCAGGAGTTCCGGCAGGAGACAGGCATCGACCTGGGCGGCGACCGCATGGCGCTGCAACGTCTGCGGGATGCGGCGGAACGGGCCAAGATCGAGCTTTCCAGTACCCTGGAAACGGAAATCAACCTGCCCTTCATTACCGCTGATGCCAGCGGTCCCCAGCACCTGGTCAAGACCCTCAGCCGTGCCCGCATGGAGCAACTGGTAGGCAGCCTGATTGACCAGACAGCTACCCCGTGCCGGCAGGCCATAACCGATTCAGGCCTGTCCGCCAGTGAGATAGACGAGGTGATCCTGGTGGGCGGAATGACCCGTATGCCGGCTGTCCAGGAAAAGGTCAAAGCTATTTTCGGCAAGGAAGCCAGCCGGTCGGTGAACCCGGATGAGGCCGTTGCCCTGGGCGCTGCCATTCAGGCCGGCGTGCTCGGTGGCGAGGTGGGGGACATTGTTCTGCTGGACGTTACCCCCCTGACCCTGGGGCTGGAGACCCTGGGCAGCGTAATGACTACGCTGATTTCCAGGAATACCACCATCCCCACCAAGAAGACTGAAACTTTCACCACGGCAGCCGACGGGCAGACCAGCGTGGACATTCACGTCCTGCAGGGTGAGCGGCCCATGGCCCCGGACAACAAGTCCATCGGCCGGTTCATACTCGACGGGCTGCTGCCGGCGCCGCGCGGGGTGCCCCAGGTGGACGTTACCTTTGACATTGATGCCAACGGTATCCTCAGCGTTTCGGCCCAGGACAAGGGCACCGGCAAGGAGCAGCGGATTGTAATCCAGCCCAGTTCAGGTATCTCCAAGGATGATATAGAGCAGATGGTGGATGCCGCCAAGGCCCACGAGGAAGAGGACCAGCGGCGTCGCGTCGAGGTAGAAACCAGAAACCAGGCCGACTCCCTGGTTTACAGCACCGAGAAACTCCTGGCGGACAACGCGGACAAGGTACCCCAGGACTTGAAGGAAGAGGTGGAAGGGAAGATTGCGGTCCTGAAGACGGCCATTGAAGCAAACAATGTGGCCGAAATGCAGACTGCCATGGCCGACCTGAACAGCTCGATGCAAAGGCTGGGGCAGGCAGTGTATGGTCAACAGACCCCCGGCGCCCCTCCTGAAGATCCGGGAATGGGCGGCAGCGACAGCGATGACACCGTAGAGGGCGAGTTCAGGGAAGTCTAAAAGTCTGTCAAAGCTGCATTACTTCGGGCTGGCGATTCTGATATAATATGAATGTAAAGCAATAGGGTCGCTAGTTCGGCCTCATCATTCGATACAGGTTTGGGAGAAATAAAATGAGTGCACCAGAGAGCGCAGGACAAGAGGTATTAGGCAATGAGAACACTTTTGTAATCGACGGTGTTCAGCAGGCTGTTACGCCGCTTCAGTATCACTACCTCAGTCTGCTGGAGCGACTGACTGCTCTCAAGAACATCTACCAGACCGATCCGGCCTACGAAACCTGGATGATGGATGCCATCAAGAAGTCCATCTACAGCACTTTCAGGGACTGCATCGAGTCCAATGTTGGTGACGTAGCCCGGGACATCCTGGGACAGGAGCACCACGTTAACTAAACTTCAAGAGGCTCAGGTATTTTAGAGGCCAGCCCTTTGCGGGCTGGCCTCTTTTTTTGTGTAGCGCGAAAGTGCTGACCCGACAAGGGGGCTTCCGGAAGAAGTCTTCCCTATCCCAATCCGTGCTTTGACATTACTTCCCGCCTCAAGTTTGCCACTCCGTCTTCCAGGTACTGCCTGGCCTGCTGCCGCATGTTATCCGGTACGTCCATGGCCACGGTGTCTCGCAGGTTGGTGGATGGGTACTGGCCCGACACGGCCTCGGGTATGCGGTCGGGCCATTCCACGCCCAGCATTACGCCGTAAGCCAGGGACCAGCAGCGGGCCACGGCTCCCACGTCATAACCGCCCCCTCCCAAGGCCAGCCATGGCAACCCCAATTTGGCAAACTCCCTTATGACCTCCACGTAACCCCGGGATGTTAGCTGCAGGTGGGTTATGGGGTCGGAATGGTAACTGTCGATGCCCAGTTGGGTTACCAATACGTCTGGGGCGAAGGCACGAATCAGCGGCGGCACTACTTCGCGGAAAGCCCATAGGTAAAGCTCGTCCTCGGTGTAGGGGAACAGCGGGACGTTGACCGAATAGCCAACCCCGTCGCCAACGCCTGCCTCAGACACGAAGCCCGTGCCCGGGAACAGATACTGCCCCGATTCGTGGATGGAGATGGTCAACACCCGATCGTCGGGATAAAAGACATCCTGCACACCGTCCCCGTGGTGAGCGTCCACGTCCACGTATGCCACCCGCAAACCGCGGTCCAGGAAATACCTGATAGCGATGGCCGGGTCGTTGAAGATGCAGAAGCCTGAAGCATGGGTGGGCGCGGCGTGGTGCAGCCCGCCGGAAATGGAGAAGGCCGCGTCCACCCGTTTCTCGGCCACCAACTCGGCGGCCACCAGCGTGGCGCCCGAACTGAGCAGGGCCGCGTCGTACATCCCCGGATAGACGGGATTGTCTCCCTGTTCGCTGAACCCGAATCTTTCCGGCTGCAGCGCCTGTGCAGGGGCCAAACCGGCGCTGAGGCTGCGCACCGCCGCAACGTAGTCACGAGTATGCACCCACTCCAGTTCCGCCTCGGTGGCGGCCCGGGATCTATCAACAGAGAGGCGTCGCCGTCGAAAGCCCCGTAAGCCGACAGGAGTTCGTAAGTGTGGCGAAGGCGGATGGGCCGCATGGGGTGGTCAGACCGTAGTACGTGCTGGGAAAGCGCGTCTTCATACACAAAGGCAGCGTTGGGCATGGTGGACCTCTTCGGCAGTTTTCTCCACAAATATACACGAATGGACACCAATAGTGGGCGAACTTGCGGAGCAGGATTAACGGTGTGATTGCCGCTGCCCTGCGCTTTGGCTTGCCTAATGTTAAGAGAAGGTCTATCTTACCTTGACCGGCTTTAACCTATTCTTAACATTTGCCTCAGGGTGCGTGTTGGCGACCGCCGGACCTGCTCGAACCCTTTTGTCCTGGTAACTGGCTGGCTCCTATGACAACACAGAACGAATCCCGCTCTGCCTGGTTATCTTTTGAACCTGCGGGCTTGGTAAAGCTGGCTACTGCTGTTGTCCTGTTCCTGGTTGTATTGCTGATGCCCGCACCGGAGGGGCTGTCTCCCGAAGGCCAGAAGGCTCTGGCGGTGATGACCCTGTCGGTTGTCCTGTGGGCCACGGATGCCTTGCCCATATCAGTTACCGGCCTGTTGGGAGTGATACTGCTCATCGTGTTGGGTGCAGTGCCAGGGGTACTGGAAGGGCTTTACGGGTTTTCCCAGCCGGTGTCCTACTTCCTGATTGGTATCCTGACCATCGGACTGGCGGTGCATCAGTCGGGCTTGGCGGAGCGCCTGGCCACCTTCCTCATTCGGGGTGCGGTGGGCAAGCCGGGGTTATTGTACCTTCAAATGCTGTTCTCCTTCGCGGCGCTGACCTTCGCGCTGCCGTCCGCCAGCACTCGCGGCGCGATCATGGTGCACATCTACGCCCAGGTCTTGGCCCGCTGGAACATCCCCCAGGATCACCGGTATTACAAGACGCTGATGATGGCCCTGGGCAGCCTGAATCGTCTG